AGAGCAAGACTCTGTCTCAAAAAAAAAAAAAAAAGCTCATTAACAAAGTACTTATAAGAAGCTTTAACAGAAATGAAAGCAGCAGTGATGTGGCTCTGTAATAAAGAGAAAAACAGCAAACAGAGAGGGGATGTTATATGTCAAAATTAAATGTTCCCTCCCTAAAGCTTGCTGGCAAATGAGGGGGGAAAGAGACAACACAGCAGCGTACACCACAATCAGGGCAAAGAACAAAGCAAGCTGAGTCGGTAAGCAAGCTCTGACAACCCTCACCTGCACCAAGGCATCATCTCCTAATAAGGAGCAGGACAAGGTTGGGGTGGTGCCCAGGAACCCGGAGTCAGTCACTTCTTCCACAGTCTCTCCAATGGACAACACAAGGGTGGCATTCACGAAAGACACAATGATGTAGGCATCAAACTCATCTGAAAAAGGGAAGGACTTGGTTAGGTAAGAACTCATTAGAATTACAAAGTCAAGTGAAACACTAAGCGTTTTCTCTCCAGAAACCTTCCAAGGCACTTCTGTATGTAGTCATCACACACACGAAGAGCACAGGATGATCCAAAAGATATCTGGGGGTCATAACAGCCTACAGATATGCTCTGCTTCCTTAATATTTTGAGACATGTGCTGGAAAAATTAGAGTAGACAAAGCCAGGGAATCAGAGTCATGAGAAATTTTTGAGTACTACAATATTTGTTTCTCGAGCTAGATCACATTTGTGCCAGCTGACAATCACAACCCATTCTTAAAAGATACTCCTTATAACCAGGAAAGATCACAACTTCTTCCAAAAGCAGCTTATGCAGGAACACAAGCTCTAATCAATAAAACAGATTACTTAAGCCTCCATGAGACTAAGTCATTCTAGGGTTGGAAACCGAGAATCCTAGTCCTAATGGGAATGATGTAGGAACACTAGAACAACCAGGAAATGGGACTGGGATGGGGATGGGGGTGGGGGTTGTTTATATTGTTATTCCTTGAACTCTCTGGTTGTTCACTATTTAGAAATACAACAATCCAGTGGTCATGAGCAATCCTATTAGGATCTGCTTCTCACAATGAAACCCAGTTTGACAAACACTAATGAGTTTCTCCTGCAGATCCCATAGTTAAAGGCTACCAATTTCCTATATATCCCACTCTACAACATGGAAGAGCTTGTGTGTGTGTGCCCTATATCCAGCACAATGTTTGGCATAAAGCTTGATAAATACTGGACAATGGCATGCTTATTTTTTAAAAAGTTGAGATTTCTCTACTTTACAATTTTATTTTTGTATCAACTCCCCATTTTCTGTCCCCCTTACCCAGAAATTAAGTATATATGGGACAGAATAACAAGAAAAGGTATTAAACTGGAGTGGCCACCTCACTCCTAGCAGTAGCAACTATAGGACCCTGTTTGCCTGAGCCCCTATCAGACCTCAATGCCATAGGGCTAGTCCACCCCACCCACATGAAGGACACACTTGGTTCTGATTGCTCCAAATGAGGTTCAGGTGAACTAAAGTTACTAGATTAGTTCAGCAGAATGAGCATTCTTTATAGTTTTTTAGTCAAGTGAAGATATATAATTGGTGTGGCCTACAGTAGTGTTCTGACCTATTAGCAGGACATAAAATCAATTTGGTGGGTTGCAATCAGCACTTTGTAATAGAATATAACTTATGAGACTGCCTAACACATAGTAAAGGTAAGTACTGTTTTGCAAAATTTTTGTTTCAGTTAATTCACATGTGTGTACTCGGGTGGCTGAAAAGCAAGGAACAAAGATCATTCCCAGCGGGTGTGCTCTAAAGGCAATCCACAAAGGGTTCAATTTCAATTTCCAAATCATAGGGAATAAAACTGGACAAGAAGAAACTTGGCTTTTAATTATTTTGTCATAACGGTCAACATACATCAAATGCCTTGAGGTATCTTGTAAAATGGCTTTGTAAGACTGCTATCATAAAATAAGTAAGGACATGGTTGCCCCTGAAATGGATGTCTTAATAGCTTACAACAAAACCAAAATCCATCGCCACATGACACCAACTTGGAACCTTTATACTCCAGCAATTAGTTTTTGAATTGGAAATTTCTGGTATGTAAAAAATAACAGAAATTGCTTAATTTTAACATTATATGAATACTGTATCATTTCCAATGTTCTTTTTGTTTTTTTTTTTTGAGACAGAGTCTCACTCTTTTGCCCGGGCTAGAGAGCCATGGCATCAGCCTAGCTCACAGCAACCTCAAACTCCTGGGCTCAAGC